GGAGCTCGGATTGAGAAAAAGGGCCGTGGATGAGTACACGAGGTGAGCCGTTTCGGGGTCTCGAGTCTCAAACCACACTATACCACCCGTTGTCGCCGTAGTTCCACATAAAGTGGGCCACGACTCCCAAGGTGGGTGACTGATCCGGTCCATATTCCAAACCTTACACACCAACCTTTCGAACCATCCTAACCATACTGCTGGAGCCTCCTCCACTCATTCCTTTCTGACAACCCGCTACATCGCCTCAACCGACGGTGACCTCCTTGACACCTAATCATACACATTGAGTGCCAGCAATGGCTGGCTCCTCAAAGGATGTGTTCTACCGGTGCATTGCTGGCATTAGGACTAGTGTTGTGCTGTGTAATGCATTAATCATGTGTACATATTTGTATAGTATACGATCATTTATAGTAACGATTATGTGGGGCTTGTCAAATGCGGGCATTCTCGCCTATCTCGGATCTCTTAATTTCCTGAGTACCTTGGAGTGTTTTCACTCGATTGCCACATATGAAATGTTCGTCAATAATTCCGATCGCTCTCGAAACTGATTAATTGACTGGTTTCGGTGTAATTTTATCCCAAATCCTAAACCAATTTTGGACATTCCCTGGACGAGTATTAATCCACCGGGTTATTAATTGCATTCTAAGATAAATACCCTTTCGACGAGTCTACTCACAATTAGTATTGAAATTCAGCAAATCCTGTTTGGACCGCCTTGATAATCGTAAGCGTTAGTAAAAGAAAAATATTTACAACCAGTCCAACCCTTGATATGATAACAGAGCGAATGGGTCGTCAAGTTATTTTTAACACTTTTTTTTTTAAATTAAATGTATCCTTATATTTTGTACTTATGTATAAGTTCGTTTAAAAAGTGGACAGTTCGCAAATTTTAGGTTTTCAAACACAATGAATATGTTAAATCATGTTAAAAGCATTTCGACTGGCAAAAGTAGCACAAATAGAAATCTTAAAATAACAGACAGTTTATAAATTTACACTTTACAAATAATGAAACAACTGGCGGCCGGTGGAGCGATTAATCATTATAATCCCATAGACTGTTTCCGCAGCAGCGTGCAATTTTTTCCACCTTTTTTTCTAATGCTTCTTCCTCTTTTTCACTCATTTTAAGCAGAAGTTACACTATACTTAACACAGACAAAAAATGTACACTGATCTAACATTTCATATTTTCGTAGTGAACGGAGGAGGTGAGGGCACACTACGAAAATTTGTAGTCTCTTTCGTATGACTCTCACTCTCATTCACGTATTCTCGCTCTCTCGCTCACTCTCTTCGCTTACTCACTTACTCTCTCTCGCTCACACAATTATTTTCTCTCACTTAGTCACTCACTCGCTCACATTCTTTCACCCATTCATTATTCCCTCTGTCACTCGCTCCCGCTGTCTCTCACTCAATGTCGCTCTCTCTCACAATCCCACTCTCATTCACACGCTCATTCCCTCTCTCACTTAGTCATTCACTCACATTCTTTCACCCATTCATTACTTACTATGTTTCTCATTCATTCTCTCTGTCGCTCACTCCCGCTTTTCCTTACTATCTCTCTCACTCACTCACTGTCGCTCTCTCTGTTTTCACGCATTCCCTCTTTCACTCACTCTCATTCACTCACTTACTCTCTCTCACTAAATTACTCTCTCTCGCTCACACACTTATTTTCTCTCACTTAGTCACTCCTCAATTTTTTCACTCACTCTGTTTCTCACTCAATCAGTTTCGTTCTTTCTCATTCACTCTGTTTCTCGCTCATTCCCTCTCCCTCACTCTCTTCCCCTCTTCCCCCAAATAATATTTCTTTTAAAATTCTGACTTGTTGAATTTTTTGCCGGTTCGGAGTTCCGAATTTCGAATCAGGTGAGAGCACCGTATTGAAAAGATTAATATACCAAGAAATTCACGAGCAATAAAAGCAAAAATCCATGTACTTTTTTAATAATATTTTATGTGTCGCCAATACATATCAGTACATATTAAAAATTCATCGAAACCTGTGATCCCTCGTCCGTAGCCCTGCTGTTGTCAGCGTTTACATAAATTTCCAATAGCATTGATAATTGTGAAATGCCGTAACGCGTTTGACAGACCATTTCAGCGAGGATAAACAGACCAGGATGATCGATAACCTCCAAATAATAAATTTTAAGAAATGTTGCTCACCTGTTAACTGCTCACACTCTAACCTTTAATAAAAATCTTTGGTTTGGCAGTTTTATCCCTGTCTCATGATTTTTTTCTTTGCTGACAGCCTCATAAGAAAAAATGCTAAAAATATGATTATTAGAACATCAATAGAAAATAGTCTAATTAATATGGCACTTCATGGGTAACTCACGTAATTTCCGGTTATTTCAAATTGCATACTTTCAACAACAAAAAAAATAAATAAATAAAAATCTTAAACGCGAATAGCTAGGAATGTTCGTTCCCAGAGTTCTTCACTAATGCATGACAACCTTTCTCCGCGCGAAATTTCTTCTAAAAAATACATGAAACTGATATAAAGAATCTCATATCCTGTGAATATTCAAAATGCATTATCTTTAAAATGAACAGAGAATGACAAACGGGAATCTTATCCCGAAGATTTTAGTACATTTTTCTCCCATATTTTTGCATATGAATTCTTTCAAATCCAATAAGAATCAAAATTAATGTTATGCAGGAGGAAGTCAGGAGATAAAATAACATTTGAGCCTCCTACGAAAAATATTTGAGAGGGGTTATAAATTCAATGGGACTCTTAAACTCGAGCTTGAAAATTTCAAGCATTTTATGCATTCTTTCATGGATTCTTGGACCAACTCCAATGTTTCAATTTATATTATAAGAAAATAACATTTCTATTATCGTTGAAAAATTGAATAATTATTCGTATTTTTAACGGATTGCTTAAAACGTCCAGATATAGGTTAAAGTGTTTTTTTTTAACAAATGTTGAATTCATAAAATGAATGAAGGTCGGAGGGAGTGAGAGTGAAAAAAAGTGAGTGAGCGGGTAAATAAATAAGGTGGTCTAAGAGATGATAGAAATGGGGATGATGAGCGAACCAGGGAAGAGTGAGCATGTATGTAAATAAACTGATCCCAAGAGTGAGGGAAGTTAAAGTCGGTTTGTGATAGAGCATGTGCGAAAATGAATGAATAAGTAATGAATAAGTACGGTTTAAATAGTTGTGTGAGTGATTGGAAGTAAGAGGGCAATAACGAGCTAGTGAACGAGCAAGACTTACACAGATAAATAGTAGATAGAAAATACTTAACTTACAAAATTTGGTGCTCACCATTGAATCTTATTTACAAAAGTACATGCGACATGGAATTACATCGTTACAACCAGTGATAGATAAATAGATATAGAGAGGGAGAGAGAGAGAGAGAAAGCGATTGGGAATGAGGATGAAGAGCGAGCTAGTATTTGTTATGTGAATGTATGAAAGGGCCGATGAAAAAAACAAGGAAAGGAGCGGGTGAGTGGAAAATATATAGATAGATACGGATAGAGATAGATAGATAGAGAGAGTGAGAGTGGGAGTGAATGAGGGAGAGCGATTGAGACAGAAAGTGAGCGAGCGAGAGAGGGTGTGAGTGAGGAAGGAATAGAGTGAGTTAGTGATTGGGAGAGAGAGAATGAGTGAGTGAGAGAGAAAGAGAGAGAGAGAGAGAGAGAGAGAAAGAATGATATTGAGAATGAGGATTATGAGCGAGCTAGTATTTCTTATATGAATGTATGAAAGGGCTGATGAAAAGAACAAGGAAGGAGCGGGTGAGTGGGAAATATATAGATAAATACAGATAGTGAGAGTGGGAGTGAGGGAGGGAGAGCGATTGAGACAGAAAGTGAGTGAGCGAGAGAGAGATTGATTAAGGAAGGAATAGAGTGAGATAGTGATTGAGAGAGAGAGAGAGAGAGAGAGAGAGAGAGAGAGAGAGAGAGAGAGAGAGAGAGAGTGAGTGAGAGAGAGAGGGAGAGAGAGAGGGAGAGAAAAAACGAGCGAGCGAGTGGGTGGGAGATAGAGCGAGTGAGAGAGAGTGAGAAAGAGAGGAAGCGAGCGATTGATTGACGGAGAGAGTGAGGGAGGGAGAGAACGAGCGAGCGAGTGGGTGAGAGGGAGAGAAAGAGAGAGAATGAGTGAGTGAGGAAGGGAGAGAGCGGAAGAGAGATAGTGAGATGGAACGATTGAACGAGTGAGAGTAAGCTTGGCAATTCTTAGCGTAGTAAGCGGTCGTGAATCAAATTTAATTTTCACTGTTAGAAACCGTAACAATCATTGTCTTTGTAGCAGTCAATTCCTTTTAATTGGGAGAATTGTATATTTGTTAGCAGATTTCTGTTCGATCGGCGGAGTGGTCTGGAGGCCTCCAACGAAACGATAATCACGATTAACGCTAATATCTTCCGCGGGTCATTGATGATTCTATGAACTTTGCCCCGATTGCGGTCATTCGGCTTGTTCTTTTTTTTTAAATCTAATTCTATCCTTTTTGTCTGTTACTGTTTGTTTTACACTTAAATTATAGTGCATAATACATGACGTAAGGAATCGCTGTAATGTGACTATCTCTCTATTAAGCCTAAACTTTCATCTACCCGCGTCGCGTATCGTTTCGCTCTGTTACTCCGTTCTAGATTTTCCTATCCAATTAAACACCCGCGGTCTCGTGGATCCGTTGCTTCAATCCATTTCTAGGACTGTTCGGAAACTACTTTTTAAAATGTTTGTTTTCCTTATTTTCCCACTTTGTTAGGATGTTAAGTTTAAAAAAAGTGTGGAGAGACAGTTTGCATTTAAAAACAGCATTTAGTCCTGAACACTTTGGAGGTCCTTGTATATTTCCTTCCAGTCAAGTGTCGACCCTGTTCTTATTTTTTTTTTTTTTTTTATGTTAAAAAAAATGTTGGGCAGTGATTACGATCTGATTGTAAATTGTCTATTAATCGTAATCTTATTTTTTTCCAG